TTCAAACGAAACCACACAAAATCTCCGAAGTTCTCAATTAATTAAATACATTTTTTTTTAAATCAGGTTTTGGTGAACATTTGCTTCACTGGTTTGCTAGTAATTAATGAATTTTTAACATAAGTAATATTAATTAAGAGATGAGAATCTATTGACGGCCGAACAGTCTAAGCCTTAACTTTTTTCAATGCAACATTCTATTAAATAAAATAAGTAATTAATTACTCTTTTCGTCACACTGTCTAATTCTGTACTTGAGGAAAACTTAACTGTGACTAAAAAGAAAGTCACTAAAAGTGAATGTAACTTACGTACAGTAGACGACGCGTAATGCTGCGTAAAATGGCAAAATTGGTCAATTAAATTTGTACTTCAATTCAAAACCGATAGAGTTGAAAGTCGAGCTGTCAAATTTAACAGATATTTGGCACAATCTAACCAACAGCCCGTATTACGAGAGAAATATGACAAAAAAAATCTGCGCAGACGCACCAATCCAATGCAATGTAATCTTCCGCCTCGTATAATTAACTATATTGGATAACTATTACGGTTCGCGACTAGTAATTATTTTTTTTATTTTTCTATTGCTTAGGCACTTAAACGTATACTTATTTGGTCTGTGTCGGTACTAAGTGAAATAAAAACAAAAATTACGTGAATGTCGTGGATCATTTCTTTGTCGCACTATCCGTAAATGGAATGCTCTGCCCGCTCACGTGTGCCCTCTTACAACCTGGGATCCTTTAAAAGAGGCGTGAAGAAGCAACATGCAGGCCGGCAGGGTGAGGATGGCTGGTGTGGCAGGTAGAACTGCTGTATCAGCTATCTTCGCGTCTGGACTTCACCTTCACTTAACATCAGGTGGGGTGAAGTCATTTGTCGGACCTATCTATAAATAAAAAAAAATGGGTGCGTGTACTTATGTAGGCGCGTGAGAAGTTATCCTTCTTTGGATCGTTTAAAATTAGTTTTTAATTGCATGCAAATAATTAATAACAATAAATTAATAAAAAGTCTGGAAAAGGACACAGTCAATAAAGTTCAGTTTTAATTTGAAAAAATAAATAAATTATCAAAATACTCAATTAAAATCGCTACTGAATATAATTTATTAGAACATATGTGATTTGCACTTGTATGAAACTCAAACACGTATTCCGAATATACAAACTAGAAACATGTGGATAAATATTATAAATATGATTACCTATAACTGTTACTTTATTACAAAAAATAAAGATGTGGTTTTTGGTTCTACTACACCAATGGTCAAGAGATGGCGCTGTAGTCTCCTGAATCGCGCTTTGGTTCCGTTGTTCCAGATTAATAAATACTTTTGATAGGCCTTCACAATGCAGTCGTTAGCACCCACTAAATAGAGATTCTATTTCTATTTTGTTGGTAGATTTTCTTAATGTGCGGTAAACACAAAAGTAACACAAAACAGCATGAAGTTGGTCGCTAAAGCGACCAACTTCATGCTGTTAATTTTTGTGTTACAGTGATGCGCGCGCATCTTAAAATTTCACTCTCATCATTTTTTCATAACGCGCCTAAAGAAGTATAACTTCAAAAAATAAAAAAATATTCGGTAAAAAATATTTATGTGCAACGAATTATATATCACCAACGAATTATTTAAACCAAAATTATATACCACCCACCAAAAGGCCCAGTACGGAATGGGCCCAATGCATAATGGGTCATGCGTACGCTGCGTTATGGCTGCGTTATAATGCGTTTGGGCTGTGCGTTGATAGATCACTATGTCATGTCAGTCAGTCAGTCACCTTTGAGTTTTATAGATATACCTAGATATTAACTATGGCTCGTGGTTATACTTTCATCACCAATGTAATCATCGTCATCATCATCTCAGCCGTACGACGCCCTCTCCTGAGTATAAGCCTCCCCCAAGTAATGTAATGCCATCCCCTAAATCTAAAACATCCTACGACATACAGAAGACGGCTAATAATTATCATATATGTAACTAATAAAGCTTCATTATATGAATACCGCAAACAGTTATATTCATTAATAAACAGACAAATAGATTTTTATATTCATTAATCAATAAATCGAAGCTAATTGGATGTTTATCGTGTCGACCTTCACTGGATGTAGGTTATTTTAAATAAATTTACAGTGAAATCCTATTTATTTGTAAATTCAACGCTCTATTTCTCACTATTCATTCCTAAAAGTGAAGTTTAAACTTATATTTTCACGTAAAAAATATATCACCTGTTGTTAACATAATTTTTATAAATAAATATTTATTTTGTTAGGGGTCCGAATTTCCGATCGTCAAAAGAAAAAAAAACAATCCTAATACGATCACTTTGTAGTCCGTATGTTTGTTGAAACTCTTTTTGTCTCGGGAATGCGTGGAAATCATCATCATCATGATCGGCACAGGCCTTCCCTATGATTGGAATAAGGAGATTGGGCCATGACCCACCACGCGGGCCCAGTGCGGATTGGTGGGTGCTAACGACTGTAGATGCAGCCGGGACCAACGGCTTAACGTGCCTTCCGAAGCACGGAAGAACTCGATATAGTAAATTTTTGGTCACCCATCCAATAACCGACCACTGCGAAAGTTGCTTAACTTCAACGATCGCAGGCGAACGCGCTAACCACTTGCGCCATCGAGCTCCTCCGTGCATGGAGATATCGTGTTGTAAACCTAACCACTGTACTAACTACGAAAATCTGCATAAGAATTTCTTTTGTCATGAATATATGAAGGCAGCAGCGGCACGGCTATCTCATCGGCATATGCTGACATAGGCCTCTCCAAATGCACGCCACTCAGATCGATCTTGGGCTACTCGCATCCAGCTCCTGCCAGCCACCTTGCGCAAATCGTCACTCCATCGCGCCTGAGGACGTCCTACACTACGTTTGCCTAGACGCGGTCTCCACTCCAGAACTCGTCTACCCCAACGGTTATCGGTTCTTCGACAAATATGGCCACACACACCGTCAAAATTTAATAAAGATATTCTGACTTTAATTTTAATCAATCTGCCGGTCTCGACTTTATCTTATTTTGCATATTTTTATGCTCTTTCGATACCTTAAGTAATGTTAATGTGAAAAGATATTGACATATATTACGTACGGAATCTACACTGATAACATGAATTCACTCATAATGACGCTAGTTAACGACATAGTGTTTTGTCTTGAAAGTGTTGTTCATTTGTGGAATATTTCATTTTTGTTGAGTTCTTTGTCGACAGCAAAAAAGAGTTCAGGAGGAAAATTATAAATATAATTGCTATTTCTTCTTTCAAATGTAAAAATATTCATTTGACATTGTGGGTTACTTATAATGCGAAGAGATGGCGCTGCCTTGTAGCTTAAGAATGGCTACAAGAATTTCGACGCGGTCCGTGAGGGCTGCGGTAGCATAATTGGTCAGTGCATTCGCCCGGATTGCGGGTTCGAGTCTCGTCTACTGCCTAGTCCGCGTGGAATTTTTTCTAGTTATATTTTCTTTAAGTTCAGGAGTTTTATACTTACTAACGATTACATCAGCCTATTAATGTCCCCACTGCTGGGGCACAGGCTTTCCCTATGAATGAAATAGGGAGATTGGGCCATAACCCACCACGCGGGCCCAGTGTGGATTGGCGAGTTCTCTCGACTGCAGATGCAGCCGGGACCAACAGCTTGAAGTGCCTTCCAAAGCACGGAGGGACTCGAGTTAGAAGATTTTTGGTCAAAGTTGCTTAACTTCAACGATCGCAGCCGAAGGCGCTAACCACCTGCGGCATCGAGCTCCTCAACGATTACATATCTATTTATTTCAACACCAACGTTTTATTCACAAGCAATAAACTGTAAAACGTACTGGACGACGCAGCGTGGGGCGGCCCCCAACAAGGTGAACTGACGACATCGTCAAATGTGGTGGGAGCCGCTGGATGAGGATAGCGCAGGACCGCGCGTGGCGTTCTATGGGGGAGGCCTATGTCCAGCAGTGGACGGAGACAGGCTGATGGATGGATGGATGAAACTGTAAAACGACTTGTAGTAAGCTTGTCAATGGCATAAAATGAATATAAAATTTAATATTATAGTAATTTATGTCAAATACGGGATTGTTACCATGTACCTTGTTTTTAGCGAGTTTCGGATATTTCGGCACTGATCCAAGCGCCATGATCACGGAGTAACTATACGGTACAACGTAGCTGTATGTCACACATTACATGGTAACGATCCCGTAAATAACGTAAATTACTATAATGTTAGTGACCATGAAAGTTTAAAACAGTATTATTTTTAATACACATAAGATTTGACGTGTATTTTTATTAACTTTCACTGTTTTATTTAAACTTCAAAAGCTAGTGCATTAGCTTTCTTTTAAATATAGATTTATAGAGTGCACTGGACAATTCAGAAGAACTGTTTTAAGTTAATTTGTCTTTAGGCCAAAAACTGTGTGTCAGTTTGTCTGTTTCGGCTTGAGCCTCTACATCTATTTTGATGAAGATTGTGGGGAAATGATACCTATATTATTTATTTTTGTCGTGGAATTAATACTTTAATGCAAAAATAGAGAAGGATAATTTATGTTAATGGTTCAATCAGAAGTAGACGATGACGATTAAAATAAATTTAGATTAATGTTTAACCTTTGAATAATTGAACTACAAGATTAAGGAACAAGAGCAGATAGTGAGTCATCTCTGAATTCGGCTTAAAGAATAATTAAAAAAAACCTAATGTGTTTATGTGGAGGTTAATAGTCGCCGATTTCCGTTTTATCCTCCGAACATCCGGTGCAGCGCTTTAAATACGTTAATCATATTCATAACTCTTTAAATAAAGCCATTTAATTGTGTGAAGCAATAGTTGGTGTCAACTGTCACACAGTGTGGGAATCGATTAGTCTAGGCGTGTCGGGGTCAAAACCAACCGACTTTCGAAATTAATTCAAGCAAGGTCACAGATACACCGAAAAAAAAACAACAGGTTTCTCCAAAAAAGAACTTATATATTACAGACGCTAAAAACTAGATCATCTTCAATACAAAAAAAAAATGAGGAGGCAAAAATGTTTAAAAGCAAAACGAAATTGTGCTAGAAAACTAAATATAGAAAAATCGACGCCTCCTCATTACGGGTAGGTAATAAATACAAATAATTCACATTTCTCGCGTAATAAACCTATATACATTAATTACATCACAACGCTTAACGCTAATATTTATAAAATTAAAAACTTAAATGGGAAACATGACATGGCGCGGCTGACTTAAAATAATTAGTGACTTATTTAGTTTATGACAAAAAAAATATCATGTCGAAATGTTAGTAAGCCGCCTTACGCGTCGCAGCTATGTGTCATAGAGTAGAGGAGACGGGCCGAGCCTTTTACTCAACGCACATGTTAATTATGTACATTTCCATGGCTCTTGCGCAACCGTCTCGAATCTGTTCCGACTCGAACCGTCTCCTGCTAACGTCGACGAGTCTACGATCGAGGTACGGAGATTTGCTTCATGTTATTTTGTGCCACAACTAACACAGCACCGATGAAAACCCGACCGCGGCGCGCGCGCGACCACGCAATAAATACACGACCTACAATAAATAACACTAAATAAATTACACCTTCAGCGATACACGTTATAAATTAACATTTAAAACACAGCTTCCTTATCAACTAAATGAGCTTACTCGATCACAATTCTAGGAGCGGATCGCTCCGAAACTCCGTCATAGGAAAACGGTCCTTACGACTACCGACACACGCGATCACAATTCATTCGCTTCCTCGTCGAACGTGAAAGGCGGTTATCCAACGCGATTAGAAAGGTGTCACGGTTGGCGAGCGCTTTCTAGCGCGAGTACAGCGCGAGGTCCGAGATGCGGCGCTGGCGAGCGGCCGCGTGGAAGCCGCGCGTGCCGTCCGGCACCAGCGGCGCCCGCGACTCGAAACGCGGCGCGTACGACAACCGGCGCCCGCACTCGCCGCCGCTCAACGAGCAGCCCGACAACCGCCTCGCCAGCCAGCCCTCCGCGCTGCTAGCGCTGCCCGTGCTGACCTGCGACGTGCGACGAGATCCACAGTACACCGACACCCCCGAGTCCGAACTGTGACTGCAGGTCGACGCCCTCCGAGGCACCCAAGTCTGTATCTCCGGCGAGCGCGGCGCGAAGTACCCGCTGGAGCTGCGCCGGTAGAAGGGCGCGCCGTATCTGTACTCGTACTCCGGCTCGGAGCCGCTGCAACAGGACGAGTACTCGCACTCGTGCCGCCGCACGGGCGCGCGACGCACCGGCGCCTTCCTCTTCGGTTCTCTCGGCACACCGTTCAATTCGTATACCTTCATGCCGTCTTCTTCGGGGCTCTGCAGACGCAGAGCTTCCCTGGCCGACTCCGACTCTGTGAACTCTACTAACGCACACACACAGTTCACCAAACTTGGATTCTTGTTCAGGAACTGCCGGACGTCCGCCGGCACCGGGTTCCCGGGTCGGAGCACGCGCACTAGAGCGATTTCACCGCAAGGAGCGAACAGCCGGGACACGTTTTCCACACTCGGACGGTCGATGGGCATCCGGACGGCCACCACGGTCCGGGAGGGAGTGGTCTCGTCGTAAGGGGGCAGCGGCTCCGTCCGACGCAGCTTCGTCCCTTGCTCGTTGATCTCCAACTTGGTGGATCGTTTCAAAGCTTCGGCGACCACTCTCCAGTCCTTCGTGAGGTGTTTGACGCGTTTGAAACTAGATATAAGCTTGAGGGAGACGTAACCCTCCTTGTTGCGCCTGACGTGCTTGAGCAGGAAGGCGTCCTTGGTGATGTTGGCATCGGAGAAATAGAACTCGACTTGTGCGACGATGCGGGCGGCGAGCTCCTCGTCGGGCGGCGTGTAGGGCGGCTCCTGGGCGTCGGGGGCGACTTCGCAGCCGGAGTCCTTCCCGCCGGAGCCGGCGTCGGAAGCCGCGTCGGACAGGTCCTGGTCATGGTCGTCGGAGGCCGGCGGATGGCGGTCGGTGGCGATGCCTTCGTCGTCGTGCATGACCGGCCCGTCCATGTTGTGGGTCATCACTGTATCATTAATAATACACCCGCGCGTCGCGGTGGCGCGTGTTACACTGCGAGCGCGCGCGCTCTCGCGCCACTTTTATAATGTCGGGGGGATGTGTAAAAGGCTCGGATGTGACATTGCCGCGCAGACTCGCAGACGCTGAGACCACGTGGCTTCTGTGTACACCGCGAACTCGGGGAAATTATATCACACCGCATTTCCATTGCAGTGGACGTTGCGAGCTCCAAACCGCATTGTCGCTATCGCGAGGTCGTGTATAGTTCGTTGATGAAATCTTTATTCGTACGTCTGAATATTTTACTTACTACTAGATAGGCTATGAACAAAACAAAACACTTAACCATTAAACGGTGTAGTGTATCATCATCATCACACAAAAAATCACATATTAACAAAATAAAACCGACCATTAAAACTGAGCGAAGTACAAAATTTACATAAAGTAGGTAAAAAATCTTTGCTGCTAGATTTTTTTCTTTAAGTTTTTGCAATTGTATTTATTCTGTTTCGTGATAACTGGAATACGTTTTCCTTTGTTCGATGTGGTAAATATAATCCGTTATCACGTTAATGGCTTGCCTTATCAACGGTTCTTAGTTTTATTTTTGTAACAGTACGAGAAATAAATTGAATCTAATAGATTTGTTATAGGTTTTTAATATTGTTATTATAATGAATCATGATGAGTTTACCGATATGAAAATGAATGCCCTTTAGATATTTTTTAGTAAGTTTATTAGAGAAATCATGAATGAGAAATTAAAGAGAAATACTTTTGATAAAAATTACTCAATAGATTTTAAGGCATTACAGTTTAATAGTAGATTATGCACCAAGGGAATAAAGCAGTGTGCTATATTTCGGACAGCATATCAGATACGAAGCGAAATTAAGGATTCTGTAGTTTTATTTTATTTTTATTTTATTCAGGACAAAAAAACAGTGGTACAATTCTCATTAGACAGTAATAGTATTGTAATATAGGTGACACATTAAATCATTGTACGACCAACTTCATTATCCACTAATTAGAACAAAATACATATTTTTGCGCTTCTTTAAGATTTTCAATTAATACAGTAGGTACCAAAAAATTAACAGAATATAAATTTAGTAACTGAAAATAATAACATGACATATCAATCAAACCACACTGCTATAGTAGTTAAATCCAGCCAGGGTGCAAGTCTAACCGATGTATATCTAGTATATTAACATTTATACTTCTGAACCTCGGGAAAACTGAAGTGACACTTTTTTTGTATAAGGATATGGTGCCAATTGAAAAATATCAATATTGTGCAAATTATCATTGTAACTAACGTAGTTAATTTCCAAACGTCAGTAGTCCTGAATGGAGCGAAATATTCAAGGCTAAGACACTTTTATCCCTAAGGAGCATATTTCTTTATTCGGCTACATTGTTAGGTTATATAAAATAATAATTTAATTAAAAGTTAATTAAATTAAAAAATACTTGTTATTATATTTTTTTCTTTTTTGACATTGTGGGTTACCAATAATGCGAAGAGATAGCGCTGCCTTGCAGCTTCAGAATGGCTAGAGGAATTTCGACGCGGTCCGTGAGGGCCGCGGTAGCATAATTCAGGTCAGTGCATTCACCCGGATTGCGTAGCGAAGGGTGCAGGTTCGAGTCCCGTCTGCTGCCTGGTCCGCGTGGATTTTTTTCTAGTTATATTTTCGTTAGATTTAAATACTTGTTATGTTAAAAAACATTATTCCGGTTACGGAAACATGTGATGAAGATTCAGATATTGACACTTTAATTATTGTCATTTATCAAAATAAAACCAAGAAACATGTGCTCTCATATTGAAGCGGAAGTTCAAAACATTATTGAAAAGGAAATAATGAAATTGAAAAGTTTATGAAGAGTTTTTTTTTTATATAGCCAGGTAGGCGGTACGGCCCCACCTGACGTTAAGTGGTGATAAAGTCCAAACGCGAAGACGAGGTACAGCAGTTGTGAACTGCCACATCAACCATCTTCACCTTGCCGGCCTGCAAAAATGCTTCTACACGCCTCTCTTAAAGGACCCCAGATTGTAGGAAGGAGGGAACACGTGCATGGGCAAAGAATTCCACTTACGAATACTACGACAAAGAAGTAAGTGTTCGTGTAGGAATAGTGGCCACAGTAAGTCGGTGGCAACGTAGGCCAGCGCAAAAAAAGGTAATGGAGGGATAAGGGAGAATAACTCCTCAGAACACTCGCCGTGTAGTCGGTAGAATGCGCTAAATGATGCCACATCACGGCGTAATTGTAGAGACTCGAGTTTGTTAGTTACCTCTTCATTGCCAATGATGCGCCTTCACATAATAGAAATATATAATGTAAAATCAGTAAGCACCAATTATAGTAATATAAGTTATTTACGGGATTGTTACCATGTACCTTGTTTTTAGTGAGTTTCCGATATTTCGGCACTGTTGCAAGCGCCATGATCACGGAGTAACTGACTGCGCTTGCAACAGTGCCGAAATATCGGAAACTCACTAAAAACAAGGTACATGGTAACAATCCCGTAAATAACTTATATTATTATAATGTTAGTGACCATGAATGTTTAATACAGTAAGTCCCAAGTATAGTGAGGAAGGAATAAAGATGAATACTGAGCCCAGCAAGGTACCTTTGATTCAAAATAGATCGCTCGATATTTTAATGAGAAATTAAGTAAATCATCATCATCATCAGCCTATTAATGTCCCCACTGCTGGGGCACAGGCCTTCCCTATGGATGGAACAGGCAGATTGGGCCATGACCCACCACGCGGGTCCAGTGCGGATTGGCGGGTGTTAACGACTGCAGATGCAGCCGGGACCAACGGCTTAACGTGCCTTACGAAGCACGGAAGAACTCGAGATAGAAGATTTTTGGTCGCCCATCCAATGACCGACCACTGCGAAAGTTGCTTAACTTCAACGATCGCAGCCGAACGCGCTAACCACCTGCGCCATCGAGCTCCTTATTACTTGTAGAAGCGCACGGTACTTATTAAGTAAATGCAACGATGAAATAAGATTATTAATTAACATACAAGAACAACAAGACAATCTTGGAAATAGGGCAAAAACACATTATCTGAGAAAAAGAAATGGTGTGGTGTCGTGGGACACCAGGTAGGAACGAAGTTCCTTCGGCTAATGTAGAATCGACACAAATTGCAAACTCGCTTGTGTATGCGACTGTCGCGCCTGCGCACGTCTCATTTAACGGTTTTATTCCACGCACTTTTTTGCACGGATTTTTTCTTACGGTTTTACTATCACATTTTTTTCAGTTCGGTCGCGCAGCAAAATGCCTATCCCCTCCAAGCCTGCCGTAAGGAACATCGTTCCAAAAATAACACTTTTCTCAAGTAAAATTTCGAATTCTTGAAAAAAGTATATTAATCCAGTACCAACATTTCAAACATTACATCAGCCAACTTGTAAGATTTCTTCGCTAATCTTATCTGGGGCCGGTAACCCGATACCTGTATCTGACGCTTTCATTTCCCCAACCATTCTACATACATCGACGGTTTAAGTACTGGGTAATCTCCCATATTCTATCTGCAGCGGCAATGTGTTAGCGCGTTACGTTTTCCATTTCTACCTTGAAAAACTATACGCCCCGACGATATACGATATTCATCAGCTGATTTTCTACTTACAGAGTTTTTAAAGTATATTACTTATACAAAACAAAAGAAAGTTTTTAACTCTACACTAACATAACACTACCATTATAGATATTAACGGGATTGTTACCATGTACCTTGTTTTTTATGAGTCTCCGATATTTCGACATCGACAAAACGCCACTACATACCAAGATTGGTCAGGGAAGCGATTGAAATAACCAAACACAAGAATTTCAATCGTGAGGATGGGTTTAAATTGTCTGGTCTGTGGAATCCAGTGGTTCGTATGTGTAAAAACCGCAAACATCAAAAAAGTGTCGTTCCGCGATCTGATACTGTGAGTATTGTGTGCCGGGAACAAATGCGAGTGAATAGTGAGAATGTGACCAGTGGTAGGGGTATCGAACGCAGTTAAAGACGACGTCAGAGGGTAGACCTCTATGTCTGCCAATAACATCTACTCGCAATTACTTCAGTTACTCCGTGATCATGGCGCTTGCAACAGTGCCGTAATATCGGAGACTCATAAAAAACAAGGTACATGGTAACAATCCCGTTAATATCTATAAATGAACGGCGTCACTATCAAATAGTGTTGGTTAGCAAACAAAAATCTAGCGATCGTAAAACTTAAGCAACTTTTGCAATGGTTGATCATTGAATGGGTGATCAAGACTTCGAACTTCTCCGTGCTCCGGAAGGCACGTTAAGCCGTTGATCCCGGCTGCATCTGCATTTGTTGGCACTCACCAATCCGCACAGGACCGCTTGGTGGGTCAGGGCCGAATCTCCTCATCCATAGGGAAGGCCTGTGCCGCAGCAGTGGGGACATTAATAGGCTGATGATGAAGAGAATAATAATGGAATGGAAGAATAGATCTCTGTGTCTCTGTGAATAGATCTCTGTGTCTCTCTCTCTTAATAGAATAGATCTCTGTGTCTCCCTGTCTCTGTGTGTGTCTTTGCGTCTATGATTTTTGGCATTTTGCAACTCTTTTGTTTGTCAGAATGGCCGGATGAGCTATTTTCATCACTCTTATCCCACTCTCCTTATCCTTCCATCGACCGAAGAAAAGATGGGAAGATGATTTAAAAAAGGTGGCTGGTTCAAAATGGATCAGAGTTGCAAAAGATAGAGGAAAATGGAAATCTTTAGAGGAGGCCTATGTCGAAAGACAAGCTGTGTCAGAAAATAATGACCTGAACGGTGATAATTTAGAATAAAAACAAATATATATATATATAGCTTATGAGATTAAGAAAATGTTTCATAGTTTAACAGCAATGATGGCTTATTTTATTTTATTTTTATTTATCCTTCCATCACCATTTCGTCAGAGGACCACGTGCTCCCGCCTACGTTGTCACCGACTTCCTGTAGCCACTATTCCTACACGAACAAAGAAATTTGGTGGCTCATTTCTTTGT